AAATGTAAGTAGCTTTTCACATGTTTAGTGACTGTTAAGAGGTTCGTGTGTGTGGATGTCTTGTCTAACTGTCTAAAATAAAAAACTCAAAAGCTAAAAAATAAAAAAGAAAAAAAAAAAGAAAAACCACCTTTGTTTCTTGCAGTATATTGCTTTTATTTGATATATAATTTTCTACTTCTATTTGTCTTTCATACTTAGGTGAGAGTATATTAGGTTTTTCCACTATAGTTCGGCTATAAAGTGACCTTGTAAAACAGAAATATGTTTCTATTTCAGATTAACTTTAAAGTAACAAGTGTTTCTACCCACTTATTTTCTAAATGAAATTATGAATCTTAAACAAACTCACTTGTGCTTTGGTCCCTTTCTAAAAATAAGAAGTAGGCAGATGTGGTGGCACATTTCTGTAATCCCAGTACTCAGGAGGTCGACGCAAGAGTACGGTCAAGTTTTAACTTTATTTCTTCAAATTTCTCCTTCATTTTCAACTATGGAAAGCTTCTATACTATTTTGTAATGAGATGACAAAACAAGAAATGTAAAGATATTTTAAATATTTGATTTAGTTTTACATATATGCCACTCATAACTATGGATATCATATGAAGCAAATTCATTTTGCCAAATAATGCCATCAGTAGATAATAAGAACATAGAAGTCATAGGAAAGTTCACCCAAAGATAAGTCAACTTTGCTGTTTATGTGACAAATGGGCCACACAGATTATTCAAACATCAGGCATGTTGAGTGTGGTCACAACTCCCAGGAAATGTAAGGTAAAAAATTGACCTTACAATGTCAGATTACTTGTAACGGTATTATGTGTGTTGAATACCATCAAAATTGATGATGTACTGAAAAAAATGTTAAGATTGATTTTTAAAGAGAATACAAAATAATAATTAAAAAATTATAAGCAATATAGAATTTCACTAAACAAATTCAATGCTTGCTGCATTGCATAGTACTGTCTTCTAATTAGTTGTTTACATTCCAGATATATGTATGTAAAATTTGGAGAAAATGTTATAAGAATTAAAAAGAAGAGAAAACAGAGAGTTTACAGCTACCCTGCACAGGCGGGACCTACTACTGGTCCCAGGCCAGGCGCAGCATGGGTGAGACCCACTTACAACCACTTAGGACGCACCTGCACCACTCCGCGGCACCTCCCCCACCCTACCTGCTGAGTAGGAAATTCTGCCACTTTCCAGGAACCCCCAGACCCAGTCCTAGCCCAGGCC